TCTGCCTTTGGCTCAGGTCATGATCCCAGGGTTGGGCTCCCTGCTCAGCGGGGAGCCTACTTCTCCCTCCCCCTCTCCCCCTGCTTGTGTTCCCTCTCTCACTGTGTCTCTCTGTCAAATAAATAAATAAAATCTTTAAAAAAAATGTTAAAATATATTTGTGTATACATATATACAGGTATAGTAATATATGAGAGAGAGATGAATGTACTAATACCAAATGTATGAGATACATTTTTTTAAATGTTTGATATTTTTTAACAGAATGTTACTTGGAGTGTGATTTCAAATGCTTTTGTTTTCTTCCTTAGAGTTTTCTTTATTCCTACATTTTCCAAAGTACATTACTTCAATAATCATAAAGAAAGACCTTAGAGCTAAAGATAATGATTCTAAAGTCAATCTGAGGATAATGCTCTAGGAGGTAAGAAAGGCCATCTTAGGTTATTCAGGTTGTGAACCGCCACATCTAGGCAGATGCTATTCACATTGTAGGCATATAATAAAAGGACTAGAGATGTTTAGCCTTTTCAGTTATGCAGTAGATCAGAGACTCTCTTATATAAAGCCACCTGACGTTCATAGTCATGAACATAATTGAATCATCTCTCATACACACAATGAACAACACACACGTGAGATAGTTTTGCCCTTTCCCTTCAATCCCTTGGGCATTTTGCCTCTTTCCCTTGCTTATCTCTCTTAGATGCCTGATGCCTACTTCAAACTTGGCACAGTTCCTTCATCCAAAGGACCTGTTCTATTCTTTCAAGTCCTCCTTTCTTTTTTTTTTTTTTTAAAGATTTTATTTATTTGAGAGAGAGAGAATGAGAGACAGAGAGCATGAGAGGGAGGAGGGTCAGAGGGAGAAGCAGACTCCCTGCTAGCAGGGAGCCCGATGCGGGACTCGATCCCGGGACTCCAGGATCATGACCTGAGCTGAAGGCAGTCGCTTAACCAACTGAGCCACCCAGGTGCCCTCAAGTCCTCCTTTCTTAGGATACTTGATTTTTTTTTTTTTTTTGGTTTTGTTCTTTATTGAATGGAATCAAAAGTTTTGACATTTCTTTGAAGCTTGGAACTAAATTTCATTTCTCTGAATGATTCTACATCTTTTTTCTTAGTAGTGCAAGTTGTCTTAAGTAGAGAGTCAGTCTCTACAAAGTACTTCGGTCTGTTACCATTCTGATAAAACAAAAACAATTCTTCATTAACTTAACAAAAACAATTCTTCATTAACTTAACCGTATATGTATTTTTGCTGTAACTCTTTTTTTTTAAATTTTTTAAATTTTTTAATTTTTTTTGCTGTAACTCAACACATGAACAGACGTCTATTATTTTTGCACTAAAACAAAAGAGTACAATAGTTTTCTTCTATCAGTATTGTATTTAAAAAAGGTTAACATTAAAAACAAAGAACCATTATTTTCTTTGAAATCGTTAAGCTTCTTGCACATCTTAAGCTTCCTTCTTCTGCCTGCACTCTTCTGCCAATTTATTCAGAAATTTCTTTAATTTCTGATAATGAGGAAGGCTGCTGCAATGAGTATTTGCAACTTCTTCATTTGTATAAGAGTGAACACAGCTTACAGTAAAACCCGGTTTAGGTATCACATAGTTCGACAGCTGCAAAGGAAAAGCTAAAAAAGGTGGACAAGATCGAGGAACTTGATCAAGAAAACGAAGCAGCATTGGAAAATGGAATTAAAAATGAGGAAAATACAGAACCAGGTGCTGAATCTGCTGAGAATGCTGATGATCCCAACAAAGATACAAGTGAAAATGCAGATGGCCAAAGTGATGAAAACAAGGAGGACTATATAATCCCAGATGAGTATAGATCTGGATCATATCAGCCCAATGTTCCTGTTGGTATAGATTATTAGGATCCTTGATTTTAACCAGGCCTCCTTTGTCAATCACCCTACCTGGAGAGACAAAAGAACCTTAGTTTTCTCTCAGATGGAGTAGCATTTAAGAACAAATAGTAAGAAAAAAATGATGCTGACAATCTTAGTTATTAAGAAAATACCTATGGGGCGCTTGGGTGGCTCAGTTGTTAAGTGTCTGCCTTCGGCTCAGGTCATGATCCCAGGGTCCTGGCATCAAGCCCCGCATGGAGCCCCACATTGAGCCCAGCACCAGGCTCCCTGCTCAGCGGGAAGCCTGCTTCTCCCTCCCCCACTTCCCCTGCTTGTGTTCCCTCTCTTGGTGTGTCTCTCTCTTTCAAATAAATAAATAAAATCTTAAAAGAAAAGAAAATACCTATATAACGATTTCAGTTTTACATGAAATAAATACCAAGCTATAGATACATTCTGAGCTGGTTTCATACCAGTGAGCTAACTGAAGAAACTTCATCCACATATAAAGGAGCCTCTATGGAGGCCGCTGCCGCTGCCCCCATGGATGCCACCAGTTCTCTCTCAACATCCATAAGGCTAAGACTGTGGAACACCAAGTGAGTGTGCTGAGCAGAAAGAACACCGGCAAGATAGCCTCTGCCTCATTTCCAGCTAATTAGTGTTGGTTCTCTTTCTGTCATTGTTTCTGTGGAAAAAATTCACTTTAAATTCTAAATAACTAGTCTGCAAACCAAGTTTTCAAAAATATTCTATTTGTAATTTGGAGTTGGTGCGCTCTTAAAATAACAAACACATACCATCCCCTAAAGAAAAACTAGATGAAACAAATCCTTAGGTTGTATTTTATAGTCACCAAATTCATTTACTTCTTCCTCAAGCATTTGTATATCTGTAGTCACCATCATTGCAAGGGAGTGCATAAAAATTTTAAATTTCATTTGCAGGACTTGAAAAAAAAGAAGAAAACAAGTCTTGGTGATAATATTATCAATAAATGATTTATCACAAAAGCTTGCTTCTTATACCAAAGGATTGCATTGCCCCAATTTTTTGTTCATTTTTGGTTTCTTGATAAGAAGTTCTTCTTTGGTACGGATTTGGGGTAAGTGCATATCTCTGGTGTAATTTTCAATTATTGTCTATGTAGGCTTACAGTACATAAATACATCATCTGATAAAAAAAAAATTTCAAACATTTCAAAGGAGTACAGGAAAATAAATTTCCATGACAGGCAATGAAAGAAGCAGGTATGCAAAGTGATAGGATATATGTTTTCTAGGATATATGTTTCATTTTTGTTTGTTTCATCCTTTTTCTTTGTACCATAAGCAATTTTGGTAAGACCAGAGATACTGATGATGTGAAATCCACAGAAGTGTAAATGAAGTAATATTTTACATGCTCCCTTAAAACATTTGAAAATTTACTTTGAGAACCTCGGTTCAAATGTATCCCCCTCACCACCACCACCATCCAGGGAGTTCCTGTTGCTGTTTTCTTCACTTTTCCAGTTGAACAACTAAACCAAGAGGAAACTAAGCCCTTTAGCTACTGAGTCATGGTATAGTTGGGGGCCGGGGGGGGGGGCACTAGGAAGGGAATCAGAAAGATCTCCTAGCAACCAATTATTTGCTTCAGTCAAAAATTATACTTCCACATGGTGAGCCAGCCTAATGCTAAGGCATATTTTGTGTGTGCCATGCAATGGTATTTCTGTTTTCTAAATAAAATGTTGAAATACTAGAAGTTATACTTTATTAATGCATTTAGTGACGATATTGGAGTTTGTGAAATGTGACAAAAAGGACAGATAGAGAATAATGAAAGGAGACAGGTATCAGCTGATTGTCCCAACAGTATAGGCTGGAGCAAAGGCAAATAATCATTTGAATTTCTGCTCCTTAATGTGATTCTGAAGGTTGGCTGATCTCAGGTATTTTCAAGAGTCTAATTACTGTTTTTGCTGGTGAAAATCCATCCTACATATAATTCAATTTCTTTTATTAAATTTCTTGCTTAATCTTGAAGACATTTGATATGTTGTAAAGAAAGAGAGTTTCCAAAATTACCCAACTTCTCTCCCTTATTACCTCTGGCCTCTTAATACTTCTTTCCCTTTGCTACTAACTGAAAGCAATTTTCTTGCTTTTTCACTTTTAAAATGAAGTTTAGATCTCATCTGTGTTCATGTGAAGAACCTACTCTTGGAGAGGCCCTGTCGAGATATCCATTGTAATACTCGCTCCTACACATGCCTTCAGACATTGACTGCTTATCTAGGGAAATACACCCACACCTTTTCAGAGGCGCTACGTGTGGGTTCAGAAATGCCAAGATGGAGGGCAGGAAGGGAGCAGCTATCCCCCAAAACACAGCACAGGGGTATGGACTTGAAGTTGAAAGAAAAGTGTTTACATGTAAGGCTCTAGGTAAGTGACCGTTACGGAAGGTACTGCCACAGAGCCCCGGGTGTCGGCCTGAGCCTCCTCTGCCCGACGGCAGGGGACGGGCCGCGCCGACCCCGCCAGGCACGCGGCCCCGGGGCACTCGCCTCGCCGCACGCACGGCCCCGCAGCCCGGCCCCGAGCGCGCCGTCTAACCGCTCCTCGGGGCAGCTTCCCGAACGCCGCAGCGACCAGCGCCCCACGCCGAGCAGAGCGCAGGCTCCGCCCGCCCGCCTACTTCCCTCCGCCGCCGGGTGGGGCTCGGGAAACCGGCCGGGCCGCGCCGCCTCTCCCCGCTCACCTGCTCGCGCTCCTCCAGCGGCCGCTGCCCGCGCCGGCGCGGGCTCGCCCCGGGCTCCGGCTCTGGCCCCGCCACCGGCCGCTCCGCCAGCGCGTCCCCGTCCTCGTCGCGCTCCCCACCGCTGCTGCCGCCGCCGCCAAGCAGCTCCCCGGCCGAGCACATCCCGTCGCCAACTCCCGCCGCCGGGACGGCCGCCGGAGGAGCCGAGCGTGAAACGCGAGGCAGCGGCCGCCACCCGAGGGCCGCCCGGAGATCGGCCGCGTTGCCACACACTCGAGCCTCCGGAGCGCGCCCCGCTGGCCAGGGTGCCAGAAGTAGCAGCCCGGCCCGGCCTCTCCTGTCACTGGCTCGCCCCGCCCCGGCCTCCGGGGCGGAGCCCGCCCGGGGGCGGGGCGACGGCGGGGGCGGAGCCAACGGGGGCGTGTGTGAGACCTAAGAGCGAATGTGTGTGTGCGCGCGCGTTTGTGAGACTGTGTGTAGGACAATGTACGTTGAGAGACTGTATGTATGTGTGTGAGATTGTATGTGGAGAGTGTGTGTATGAGATTGTGTGTGTGTGTGAGACTGTTGTGTGAGAGTGATTATGTACATAACAGATTTTAAGAGATTGTGTGTGTGAAAGTGTTAGAAAAGGAGTGTGTGAGAGAGACTGTGTGTATGTAAGAAAGTGTGTTTGTGAGGGAGAGAGGAGAGCATGTGTACTGGGGTGTGTGTGTGATACACAGTTACACCCCAGCGGGGTACCTCTGTTCTTCCCTGGCACGGGGGCTGTGCCTGGGTGTGCAGCTGGATGCCTGCCTGAGTAGCCGTCCATCCTTTGCAAGTAATACACATTTCTCTGTCTCTTTTGTCCCTTTTGTCTTCTGTCTGGTGTCTCTCTGAAGGTTTGTGTCTTTGTCTCTGTTAAGTGTTCCTCTGGTGTGTGTTGGTTGTTGGAGCCTTGAGAGCATTTGGTAGGGTATCTATCTGCCTTTGTGTATATTTCTATAAATGGGCAAGGATATGTCTCTCTCTCTCAGTGGATGGTAAGGGGGATACAACTAATTCATGAATCTTTTCCTTACTACCTGTGATATTGTGATTTATAAGAAATATACAGTTGACCCTTGAAGGATGCAGGGTTAGGGGCACTGACCTGCACAATCAAAAATCCGTGTATAATGTTTGACTCCTCCAAAACTTAATTACTAATAGCCTAGTGTTGACTGGAAGCCTTACCGCTATAACATATGTAGTTGATTAGCATATTTTGTATGTTATACGTATTATATACTGTATTCTTACAATAAACTACACTAGAGAAAAGAATATGCTACTAAAAAATAGTAGGGAAGAGAAAATACTTAATAGTCCCGTAAAAAATCCAAGTATAAGTGGACCTGCACAATTCAAACCTGTGTTGTTCAAGGGTCAATCATATATTTGGTTTTCATCCCATTCTGGGAACAGAGCTCCTAGAATCTTGGAATTTCCTACTGGAGGAGAGCGATAAATGTCTTTTGTTATGCTGATGAGGATACTTTTGGAAAGTCTCTAGTTAACTAAGGATAGGGACTAGTTGCCAGGAGAATAAGCCTGGTGATTAGAGGGTTAGAACTTTTAGTCCCACCGCCTGAACTCCAGGAGGGTAGAGAGGTGTTGGAAGTTGAATCAATCAGTGATGGTCAATGATTTAATCAATCATGTCTATGCAGTGAAGCCCCCATGGAAGCCCAAAAGGACAGAGGTTCCTAGAGCTTCTGGGTTAGTGAACACAAGAACATGTAAGCAGAGTGATTTGCACAGAGAACATGGAAGCTCAGTGCTCCTTCCAATACATCTTGTCCTATGTACCTCTACATCTGGCTATTCATCTGTATCCTTTATATTATCCTTTATATATATAAACTAGTAAAAGTTTCTCTGAGGTCTGTGAGCTGTTCCAGCAAATTCACTGAACCAAGGATGGGGTCATGGAAACCTCCAATTTAGAACCAGTTGGTTAGAAGCACAGGTAACAACCTGGACCTGCACTTGGCATCAGAAGGAGGGCAGTCTGTGGCGCTGAGCTCTTAAGGTGTGAGATCTGTGATCTTATCTCCAGGGGATAGTGTCAGAACTGAGTTAACTGCTTGGTGATGTTAGAAAACACACATCAAACTACCCTACCCATTTTGTTGAAGGGAAGTTGGACAGTGTTTAAAAAAAAAAAACAAAAAAACTTTTTATATCTTTTATCTGTTCTTTGAGAAAATTATAGACTATTGTATAGAGAAAATATCAAGCTATTTGTCAATGGAAAATAAATATGCCTGTGTATGGAGAAGAATGAGTTACTCGGACTCTTTGATTAAAATGTCTTCAGGCCCAGAGAGGGAATTAAAATAGACAGAAACTTAAAGACTTGTTTTTATCTTTTTTTTTAGAGATTTTTATTTATTTATTTGACAGAGAAAGAGAGTGCTCAAGCAGGGGGGTGGCGGGAGGCGGGCAGTTGGTGGAGGGGAAGCGGCGGGCAGAGGAAGAGGGGGAAGCAGGCTTCCTGCTCTGGGCTCAATCCCAGGACCCTGGAATCATGACCTGAGCTGAAGGCCGATGCTTAACTGACTGAGCCACACAGGCACCCCTTAAAGACTTATTTTAAAGACCTATTTCCTGTTTTTGATAATCAGGACTATAGAAGCTAGAAGATACGTCTTTGGATATCACAAATTAGAAAGAAAATTAATCTGGTTTATTTCCTTTTTTTTTTTTTTTTAAGATTTTATTGATTTATTTGACAGAGAGAGACACAGCGAGAGAGGGGACAGGGGGAGTGGGAGAGGGAGAAGCAGGCTTCCCGCTGAGCAGGGAGCCCGATGTGGGGCTCGATCCCCGGACCCTGGGATCATGACCTGAGCTGAAGGCAGACGCCTAATGACCTGATCCACCCAGGTGCCCCTATTTCCTTTCTTAAAAGCCTTTTAAAACCCAGAGGAAAGTATTTAATATTATATATATAATCAGAAACAAATATCACCATGGGAAGCCAAAAACATTCCCTGATGGGCCTCTTTGCTTTGCTCTAATGACAACATTTTCATTCTTGAAATTTTGCTTTGGCTTTCAATAGTGTTTCTTATAAAAAGTTGCCTTATAAATGTTTTACAAAAAGCTTTATGATTATATATAGTGGCACAGAGAACATCAGCCTTTTACTGCCAACTCTGGATGGAGCTTAAGGCACATTTTGAAGTTCTCCCTCTTTTGGCTTGTGTCTGACAACTTGATAAGTCAAGCAGTTACGTGCTCTTCAGTCAGGCTACAGAGTGAAAAGAAATTGCTTATATACATGAAGATTCAGAAGGCACAGAATATATATATAGCAGGGCAGGTAAAAAGAGTAATATAGAGATTAGTTTTGTTCAACTTGGTGGTCAAGTCTTACAGAAGTCCTTTAGTCTAGAATATACTCTGGCCTTTCAGAGATTCAGGCTTCTTCTGAATTGTTGTCAGTCATTTAACATGTATTTATTGAACACCACTAGGCATTAGCCCCAGGTCTATGTCCCTACTCTTAAGAAGCTTCCATTTTATTCTCTTTCAAATTCTCATCTGATGATCTGGCAAAATTTAAGAACTTCCGCCAAAGGGTGGCCAGAATCCTCTGGTCCTCAGCCAGGACTGATGTCACAACTTCTTCCTTTTCTTAGTGTTGTCTACCTTTCATTTAGTGAATGAGTTTCTCTTTGAACTGTGATTCTTTTGTTCATAGACTTTGGTCTTTCCTGGAGATTTAGGGAATCACCTCTTAAAAAAAAAAAAAATCTAATAGTAGCATTTTGTGAAAAAGACATTATTCAGGTTACATCCCAGATAACACACTTTCAACCACATCTTATGGGAGGGGCGGCCTGTTTTCACTGGGCTGCACAGTATGGATATTATACATAAAAAGCTATTATTGCTAGTTACCTGTGGCAAATATATTTGCTATTACCTAGGCAACTATGACATGTTGGTCTCAAATTGTGCGTAGTTTAGTTGTGATTTTATTAGTGTATTTACCTTGTGTTTTCATAGGAATTAGTTAAGTAGTAAGAAATAGATGCCTGTCTAAGGAGTGGCCTATGTAGTGCAAGTGTATCTTGTGCAGTTGCTGTGGGAATAAGAACTTTTAATCTCTCACTTTCACACCTTTAATAGCTTATTTTTAATGTTCTTTCACTCTTATTTGGACATCTTTCCAGAGGAAAATGAACAAATCAGAGCAATCTGTACTCATTTAGTAACCGAATCTTAGAAAAACAAGTGCAAATCAAAAAAATTTGCTTTTTTTCATAATACTATGATGTTAATTTATTATGTTTCATGTGCTTTAATTTTTGCTTCATATATGATTTTTTATCTGCTTTTCTGTTTAGCAGAGCCTTTAGTATGGGGAATTATTTTTGAGATGTTTGGAATCTGTTCAATCTACATGCACTGCTGAGTTCTCTCCCTACAGTAGAAATGCAGATTAAGACTTGTGTTTTGCTTAAAAAAAGAAAAAAAAAAAAAAAGTCGAGAATGCTATTCCAACTCACTTGTAGAGGAAAAAAAAAAAAAAAGCAAAGTAAATAATTAAAAAGTACCACTAAATATATATTAAAATTTTCTGTTCAAATCCCAGGAAAAAGTATGGTTTCTGGATTAACATATGTGAATTTAAAGGAAAAGGAATTTATTGGAGAACCTGCACTTTCTTTAGCATTCCTTCAGTTTCAGGAAGCTGTATCAGAGAGATGTTGAACCAATGCTTGCTCAATGTTCTCTAGCCTTCCCAGAGAGACCACTCTGATTCAGAGGAGAAATTGATTTGCCCTTCTTCTTGGAATTAATTTTTATACTTGTTGTTTTTAAAGAACAAAATTCAATTGAGTAGATTTTAAGGATCGTATTGGTTTTGTCCAGTGATTCATGAATTGAGCAACATCCAGTATAGCAGGTAGAAGCGAGCTCCAAAGAATTGTTCGATTCGAGAGGGTTTTATAGACCAAAGTGAGGAGGAGCAGGGGAGTTATACTGGGCATTTGCTGATTGGAGCAAAGAGAAGTTTGGAGCTGGGTTAGGTAACTTGTGTTGTGCAGGCAAGTGCTGACTGGTTGAGCTAGGCCTTCGTTTCCTGGGAGAGCCTGGCATACAAACTTAATTAAGTTTTGGTTTGCTAACGTGGAGCTTAGCATGAATGGGCTCCAACTAGGGCCTAATTTGGTTACTTTAACACTGTTTTATTCTCTTCCTTTGGTGTGACTTTAGAGCTACATGCACTGCTGAGTTCTCTCCCTACAGTAGAAATGCAGATTAAGACTTGTGTTTTGCTTAAAAAAAGAAAAAAAAAAAAGTTGAGAATGCTATTCCAACTCACTAGTAGAGGGGAAAAAAAAAAAGCAAAGCAAATAATTAAAAAGTACCACTAAATATATATCAAAAATTTTTTAAATGTTGAATTGAACCTAATAAGGACAATGCCTTAAGGAACTGTTAAACTCAGTTATTGCTAGTAGCACAGAAAACTGCTAACATTCTTTTGGTCATACATATTCAGAACCATAAAATTATCCATACCCTTTGGCTGACTAACCCCAGACCTAGGAAATAATTCAAAAGGGGAAAATGCTGTTTGAATAAAGATGTTCATGGTAGAACTACAGTGAAGAGTTCAAAGAAGCCTAAATGCCAACAGGGAAATGGCTGAGTAAATATGATACACCAACACAACTGAATGTATAAGGTGTTAAAATGTTAACAATGTAGATTTTGTATCGGTGTAGTAAACATATTTATTGTAATGCTGAGTGAAAAAGTACAGCTTGATGGTAGCAG